CTTTGTAAAAGAAGGCATTGAATCCATCAGGACCAGGAGCCTTATTATCAGGCATCGAAAAGAGAGCTTGTTTGATCTCTTCCCTAGAGACAGGGGAACTCAGGTCATGCTTCTGTTCAGAGGTTAGAATGGGTCCATTTGAAATTATGCTAGGGTCAGCAATTGTATTAACTTTAGCAGTACCCAGCAACTTCTTGTAGAAGTCAATGAGCTCATCAGTGATTTCAGATGAATCAGAGAGTCTGGAGCCATCACCAGCATAAATTGATAATATTCTGTTTTGATGTCTCTTGTTTTTCATAACTGAATGAAAGAACTGAGATCCCTTATCAGAATGAAGTCCCCATTTTATGCTTGCTTTTTGCCTTAAGAAAGAATTTTCATTTTCCAGCATAATAGAATATTTCTTAATGCAAGCCTTCTCTCTAAGAATAAGATCAGTATTAAAAGGATCAGCATCCAGCTTGGTTTGGACTTCCAAGAGCTCAGCTTGAGCTCTCAAGACTTGTTGACTGATATTCATGTAATTCTTATTATTCAATTCCTTAAAAGCATGCTTAAGACTTTTAAGCTTTGTATAAAATCTGAACATGTTAAACCCCCTGACATTCCTATTCCAAACAGATCTGACCACCTCCAGAAAGTCAGGGTGTTTTGTCCACATATTGAAAATTTTGAAAGGCTTTTTGACTTCAACAATATCATCACCAATAGATATAAGCCCAGGGGAGTGATCAGAGCATAAAGGCAACAAATACTCAACTTGACTTGCAGTGAATTGATTAATCCAATCTTGATTCACCAAGGATCTGTCCAGTCTGCTCCAAACTCTTGTTTCTGCATCCTGTTTGTTGCTCCATGTGAAAAAACAGCCAGAGGTTTTAATATGATTCAGTTGACTAGATGAAATAAAACTCTGAAAATCAGTATTTCCAACACCAGATGCCTGGACACCACCAATTCTATCATCATCATTTAAGATGGCATTAAAATCCCCACCCACTAGCCATGGGCAAGAAACATTTCTTTTGAAGGCTAATAAATCTTCCCATAAGACTTTTCTCTTATCATTCAAATTGTGAGCATAGACTGCAGTGAGAAGGCAGGATACCTTACCATCTTTAGATTTCAAATCACAAGTTATATGTTGATCAGAAGAATTAACCACCTGGACAGATAAAACATCATTGTCCCATAGAATCCATACTCTAGCATTATTTGCCAAATGCTTATTAGATATCCATTTCCACTCCTTTGCAATCTTTTTACCAATAAACTGCAATTTTTCATCCCTTGCAATTTTAGTTTCCAAGAGAGCAAGAAAAGAAACCTTATACTCTTGAATAAACTTTTTCACTGCCCCATGCTTAGAGGATTTATTCAATCCCCTAATGTTCCAAATAGCTAGGTGCATTTATAGAACAGTATCCCCTCTATCAGCATTAGAGGGGTCCAAATCAAAAATTTGATGATCAAGAACAGAGAATTGTGAAGCTTGCATTGATGTGCCAGGTTCTCTCATGGTAAGCCTTTTTGCAGCAAGAGCCCTAGTAACATTAGTAAAACCACTGGAGTTTATAGAAGGAGAGAAAGGGTAAGCTGAACCCCCAGCTGTGCATGTTTTCCCACCCCCAGCAAAGTTTTGTGGATGGTGTTTTTCAAGGAGATGTTGTATTCCATTCAGGCCACTCTCAGAATTTATTCTATGGACAGAGGGAATCTGCGCATGTTTTTCCAGCAAAGAAATGCCTGACTCAGTCTTACCAGCATACTCTCCTCCTGCAGCAGAAGAAACCTGTGCAATATCTCCAGATAAACCATTAGTAGGATTCTTTTGAGCATCAGTTTTGTCTGTAGTCACATCTCCTGTAGCTGGAAGAGGATTGGATTTCTTAACTGGCACCCAAGCTTTTTTTCCACCATTTTTCCTGCAATGCTGAGTATCATGACCAACAAGTTTACATATTGAACACCACCTTGGCTTGAATTCATAGAGCACATTTTGATAGTAATGTTTGCCATCAGGCCCTTGGATCTTGATTTGATCAGGTAGAGGAGCTTTTAAAGGGAGATCAACTTCCAACAGAACCCTTGCATAGCTCAATCTTTGCCTTGAGGCAGTAAGCTTATCAGTAGCTATAGGGCATCCAATCATACTTGCAATTTTGCTAATACCTGTGGAACTCCATAAATTCAGTCTCAGATTAGGGAATTGCACCCATATGGGATATTTCTGGTCCTGAAGTTTTTCAACATCCAGATCAATAGACCATGGCTTGAGCACAAGAGGACGTGAGCCAAAGAACCAGGGGCCTCCTTCAAGAATCCCCCTCATGCTGCTCTCATTTTGGAATTCAAACAGAAATACTCCTTGTTTAATCAAAAAGACTTTAGGGATGGAAATTTTTCCCCAGAGCTTAGTAACATAGGTCTCCATCGATTTGAATTTGGCATTCATCCTAATTACATGTCCAATTAGAGCATATTTCCAAAAAATTTCCCCTTCCCTCCATTCTTCTTCATTAAAGGTAACTATATTTCCCTGGGAAGAAGGAGCAAAGTTTAAGGATAGACCTCTTCCAGCTTGCCTATTATCAGAGAATAAGCTAACAAAAGATTTCCCTTGAATTTCATTTTCAAGATTTTTAACTTCCTCAGATTGCTTATTCCCTTGAATTTCATTTTCAAGAATTTTAATTTCCTCATTCTCCTTCTCCAGATTCGTGCTCTTATTATAAGAGACTGCAGCAGATTTCTTATTAGAATTTCCATCCAGATTAGGAAAATCAATAACTGATTTAGACTGATCAACAACAGGAGTTCGAAGCTCAACACAGGAATCAACAATCAGATCAGAATTAACAAATTCCTCAAAATCATCAGCCCAGGATTGAGAGGATTTACTTAGCTCATGAGAGATTCTAGGATCACATCAGCCCAGGATTGAGAGGATTTACTTAGCTCATGAGAGATTCTAGGATCAGATCCAAGCTGAGGAGGAACAGACAAAGAAGTAAGAGGATTTACTTAGCTCATGAGAGATTCTAGGATCAGATCCAAGCTGAGGAGGAACAGACAAAGAAGTTGTTCTTAAAAGAATCTCATCCATGGATACCTTCTTCTTAGCCCCCTTTGGTCCAGTGCTATCCATTTCTTGAGGGAGATGATTCACTGTTACATCCGATTCAACATCAAAAGAGAATCCAGCAGAACTTGCAGAGATCCCAGATGATGAGGGATAAGAGAACAGAGAATCACGGAGCTCCTTGTTGAGAGAACCCTTGCTAGCACTCTTCTTCTTCCTAGATCTCGCCATTGAAATCTCGGCGATGGCGCAAGCTAGTTTTTGGTTAGAAGTGTTTTACCAATTTAAACTGATGTTTGGATCGTGTAACTAATCTTTTTTGTTGATCATCTGAATTTTGTCAAGTTAGAATTTAGTAAGGATTTCTCATCACATTAGTCATTATGCATTTGCTATATACCATAAAAGTTCTTTGCAATGTTAGATCAAAATTCTAAAATTACAAGTGGGAATCTTTTATTTGTCTATTACATCAAATTTATAAGATCTATAAGGGATAACCAAATTCAATGCATTATCAAGTTTGATCTTAGTCTTACAAAATGTTTTCATCATGTTATCATCATCAAGTAGAGGTTTAAAAACATGCTCTTAATTCGCATAATAAACTATATAGTAAGCATGAACTATTTCATAAATGAGTTATTGAAAAGATATAAATCTGTTTCTTAAAAAAATAAAGGCATAAACTAGAATGAAATAATCAAATTATTTGATCACGTGCAATGCATGTGCAACACACCTAGTCTATCTAAACTACTTATAAAAGCGAATACCCATATCAAAACTTTTAATTTCCTTTTTTACCCTCTTAATTTTTTTATAACTCACAATTATATTGTTATTTATAAAACTAATAATTCATAACCTCTCATTAACTATGCAACTCTTCTCAAAATATTTGGTCATTCACTAGAATATATATATTAATAATTTATATTTATAATGATAATAAAATGCATAAATGTATATGGTTTACTATAAAGGATTATTAATTATATAAAGTAGTAAAATTATTTATTTAATAAATTATTGTACAATCCTATATAATTATTAATAGGGTTTTTCTATAGAGTGCACATGGGCACTCTATAAGAGAGGAGAGAGATAGAGAGAAATGATCGAATTGCCCATAGAATTTAGTGCAAATCAGGAGGCCCCATGGACAATTCACTTCTTTCTATCCCTCTCATCTTTTATAGAGTGCCCATGGGCACTCTATAGAAAAACCCTTATTAATAATAGTATGCATAGGGATTGAATCATTATGTTGTAAAGAATACTAGCTTGTTTGATAATTAATATCATCTTAGTAATAAAATTTTTGAAGTTATAAATTAAAAATACTTTTATTTAGGAAAATTCTTTTATTTAAAATTATTGGATCCTTGAAATTTATGAGACGTATATTTTTCTCTTTATTCTCCCAAAATATTTGGTCATTGACTAGAATATATTAATAATTTATAATGATAATAAAATTCATAAATATATTATAATTATGGCCAATTACCGATTGCTAGTAATAAAATTCATAATATTATAAAAATCCTTCTGTGTAATTGGTCATTAGTGTATGTGCTTTGAACAAGTATTATAAAAATCAGCCCTGTTACTATAATAATTATGACCAATTACTAGTAATAAAATTCATTAATTTTATGTGCTTAAAATTCATTATGACCAATTACTAGTAATAAAATTCATTATTAGTAATAATTGTGGCCAATTACCAATTACTAGTAATAATTATGACCAATTACTAGTAATAATTATGACCAATTACTAGTAATAAAATTCATTAATTGTACATCTTGATAATAAAATTTATAATTGGCGAGGGGGTCCCCCTCAAACACCCTCCCCTATTATAAAAAGCATCCAGTTACCGCAGAAGGCTCACAAACCACAAACCCCAAAACAAAAACAAAGAGACCGACATCAACCATTAACCATGAAAACTCTCGGCCTCTTCCTCCTCCCTCTCCTTCTCGCAGTCTCGGCCTCGGCCGCCTCCGTCCGATACCTCGCTGGCGGTTGGACCCCGATAAAGAACCTCAACGACAAGCATGTGATCGACATCGCGAACTTCGCCGTGTCTGAGTACAACAATAACGCTAACAGTTTGGCTAAGCTTGCGTTGAGCAAGGTGCTGAAGGGAGAGACTCAAGTTGTGGCCGGGATAAATTATAAGCTGGTTATAGAGACTAAGTCTGATAAGGGTGTTGTTCGGAATTATGAGGTTATTGTTTGGGAGAAGGAATGGGAGAAATTTAGGCAGCTTACTTCCTTTAAGCCTGTAAAGAGCTAGTTTTGATGATGGAATCTATGGTGCTAATAAAGATTTCTATTTTTCATCTTCATAGCTTGTATCTATAATTTTTTGGTGTAAAGCTTATTTAATTTTATTAGGAGGTGACAAAATTCAGCGCTCTTTGGAATGCTAATTAAATTAGGAGATTTCCCCCCCTCTTTTTTCTTCTTCGAGATGGATTGTGCAGTTCGGTCTTTATCTTGATCCTTGTTTATTTGGACAATTGTTAGACGGTGTCTTTGAATAAACAAATCGTGCGATGCTCAGAAGACGTCGGCAATTAGTGTGGCATATATTTTGACTATTTTGTACAACAAAAAGGCTAAATATCACTATGTGAGAAAACCCTCTAAGCTCTAACCTTTGGACGATTATCAGATGATCTCTATGACTTTCAAACTATCACAATTTTTTTTTCAACTTTAAGATTTTATCAGAACCCCCTCCTAAGTCCTAATAGCGTAAATTTCAATTTTCATCGGTGAAAATATCCCTCTAGCTTACATCATTTTACCTACTCATGTGAAGGGTTAAAAGAAAAATTAAAAACCCTCCTAACAGCATAAACTTCAATTTTTATAAGCAAAAAATATCCCTCTAGCTTGCATCATTTTATCCAACCATGTGAATGATTAAAAGAAAAATTAAAAAACCTCGGTAATTGGAACATGTCTTAATTTCAAATATCATTTAGAGGAATTGGAGGGAGTATTATAACGTGAATCTGCAAAATAACGTGCCACCATCCATAACTAAATTACTTAAGCAATTATATATCTAACGATAGATACCATAAAATCTTACAAGAAAAATCATTTTTTATCTTTCACAAGAATTTTTGCACATTAGAAACTCTGGTTTAATATATAAACTAATCTGGCTATGCTGCCCGCTAATAAAAATCTTACATTTAACCTCTGACTTTTTTTAAAATCAAATATTTTCACCTTGTCATGTATCAATAATTAGTAGGTTGGATAAAGGTCATGTCATCGTCCAATCAACAGCAGTTGTTTACTCACGGTAGGATAGTTCCTGATTTGAAAATTAGATTAGAACATCCAACGATATTTCTGTATGCCCTTTTGTGACGCCCATGTTTTTACATATGACTGTAATTCAATGTAAACTCAGAGATGTTAAACCTATCATGCACTCATACCATGCAATAACATGTTTCACCAATCACAGTACTTTCCTCTAGTGGAATCAAATATAAGTGTAGGTACAAAACATGCAAAATAAGGAAATAAAAACAATAGACATGATATAGAAAGAGATATCTCATAAATAAAAATCATGTCTCAACTGAAATACATCTGATACTTAAAATAATGAAAACTTCTCAACATGCATGAATCAACTAAAAATCGTACTAAGGCACACTTACTTTACAATATGAAAATAAAACTCTAAAAAGTCTGAATGAAATCATAGAAAAATCTATTGTGGAGCTTCTACTAATAACACATGTGACGACGACTATGCAAGAACTTCGTCATCCAGCGGCTCTCCGAACTTCTGTATTGCCTGAAAGAAGAGAAAACAACAAAAAGAATCAAATAAAGAGCGTCAGAGCGCTACAGTAAGATCACCTCCATCCGCCCTTAGGGGAATAGCTACTAGACGGAGTTGAGGCTTTATCCATTAAAAATAGTCTACCTAGATCATTTTCTCTATATCTAAGTGGAATTAACATTTAAAAACCTACAACACGATACGTAGTACGTCGAACGAAATAATCCAAACAAGGAAACCCTCATGTATATACCATATGTCTCAAATTGTAGACATCTAAACATTAATACCGAACTAAGAATAAACAATCTAAATAAAATTAATAATTAGAAACCCACAACACGAGACTGGTACGTCGAGCGAAATAATCCAAACAAAGAAACCCTCATGTATATACCATATGTCTTAAATTGTGAATCGCTAATCATTGATCCCAACTAAGACATAAAGAAAGCAATAAAAAAAATAAAGATATCAATACATCGTATTTATATTATCCTCCACTATCACAAGGGAGATAGAATAAATACTAACATATAATCCTGAATACTTTCAAGAGCAAAGTATCTCGGTCATATATCTCAATGATAAATCATATCCATAACTGACATCCACCAAAGACTCAGGTTATCAATTAGCTATCTCAGTGCAACTCTTTACAAGATTTTAAAACTTAGCATCATCATTTGCAACGGACTATCCTGTAGGTATCCTAATTAAAGAAACTACATGGCTCATTAGTCTCATCGTGATCTCAGTGCGTAACATGAGTGCGGGATGACCTATCATATAGGTATCCAAAAAGACGGCTCACAAGCCTAATCGCACCCTCGTGCGGACGAACTGCTAAACAAAGCATTCAAATCCGACTCAATGGCATGTATGAATGGAATATCGATGCACTACCCCACGTAGTACTTAACCGAGCTCATCAACGATATCCATTTTATGTATAAACTATGTAAATCTAGTATATCGATGCACTATCCTATATAATTGAGCTGTGCTCATCAACGATATCCAACAAGTGTATGCACAATAAACAACCCAACACTTGATGTAATCCCCTCTGGGATAGTACTGTGTGTGCAAACGACATTGTGCTTGTGTATTCATGATTTTACATGTAAAGGAATGCGACTTGAACCCCATGAACACATCTCAAACAGATACAAAACACAAACTCAGAAAACAGCCTTAGTAGTTGACTACTACCCTTAGTAGTCGACTACTCTGAGCCTATCCAGAATCTGGAAAATTGTACTAAGTGTGAGTAGTTGACTAATATGAACATTAGTCGACTACTCTGCTATGAAAATAATTCTGTGAGTCGCACCAGGAAAGGAGTAGTCGACTACACATGTTATTAGTCGACTACTCTGTGTTAAACAAATTTCTATTTCTCAGGTTTTGATGTTTTTGGCGATAATTCCTTAAACAAAACTCACTCAAATCATATGGAACATAGGAAAAAGGCTTTAGTCTTCTGAAATTTACTATCAGAGATTAGTTCACATGATTTAACTCTTGGATTAAACACTAATTAGGGTTCAACCTCATAATTATTCAAATTCTCACATAAAAGCATGAATTATCACATGATTAACTTGGTCATGGTTATAACTAACATTGAACATAGATAAGCTTGTTTAAAACACGTTCATGTCATTGTGATCTCACAACCAAGGGTTTGAGCATGATTAATTTAAAAAAAAAACTCGATTAATTAACAAATGAGGGTTTGCAAAAGGGTTAAACTTAATTAATAAATTAAAAATGAAACTAATATTTATCCTAAAGATCATGATCATGTTTCTAATGTAAATAGTAAGGAAGACATTAGATCTATCATGAATTACAAACCTATTATAAAAAATCTACCTTTTATCACATGTAACTATGAATAAATATGCAAAACATTAATTTAAGCACATTAGATCTTTAAATTACTAAGGGTGCAGATTTGGATTAAGATGATCTCTCCTTAGGGTGCTACTGAACTCCTCAACCATGTATATGCAAGATCCCCCTTCAACCACGATCACAAATCTCAGCCTTCCTCTTGACAAACGCCTCTAAACTCTCCCAAATATCACAAATTAGGGTTTAGGGTTCAGGGAAGAATATGGCTGCTAATCTCACAAATTTTTTCTCAGAAATTAGGATTTAAATGAGTATTTATAGAGGTATACACGATTGGGTACGAATATAAACCAAAACTGACCCGAAATCTAAAATAAATCCTGTAAACAGCCCCGTTAGTCGATAATGCCTTTATTAGTCGACTAACAACCTTATTAGTAGACTACTTTGGGTTGTAGTCGACTACTAAGCTCAGATTCAGGTTTGTGCATGATTCTCATCTATATTCACATATATACATTGGATTGATCTCAAATCAATGCTTAGCATACTCAAACATCAATATATATTATTTATAATCATATACATATTTATTATTATTTATCATATTATATTCAAATTTATGAGGTTTTACATTATTCCTCCCTTAAAAGAATTTCGTTCTTGAAATTCTGCAATCTTATCTTAGAGATTAATAATATGAGAAAAGCACATTGAGGGGATAATCCAGACAAGAAAACCCTCACATACACATCTCGTACTATTAATCTTCAGATAAGAAACATAGCAATATTTACACTTAACCATCTAGAATGCGAATACTCTCACTTAACTCCTAACTAAGTGGAACAAGTACGTCGGGCGAAAAATCCAAACAAGGAATCCCCCATACATATACCATGTGTTCCGAATGATTAGGAGTTAAGTGTTAATATCCTCATTCTAGAGTTAAATATAAATATGACCATATAGATTATCATGAACACCAATCAAAATTAATCAATTTACCTGCTCAAACAGGTGTAGATAGTCACAACGCATAACATCTTCACGCTCTCCCAGAATCCTCCTCGATATCAATACCTAACAGTCTAGAATATAAATACTGCCACTTAACCCCTAACTAAGCGCAACTAGTACGCTGAGCAAAAAATCCAAACAAGAAACCCCCCATATACATACCATATGTTCAGAATAATTCGGAGCTAAGTGCTAATACCATCATTCTAGCATTAAGTATAGATATGAGTATATAGATAATCACAAACACAGGCAGATCGTAGTCAAATAACTTACTTGCTCAAATAGATGTGGGTCATCACGACGTATATCCTCATCGCAACTCCTAAGAAGCCTTCTCAGCTCCTTTACGGTTCCATTAAACTTTGGCTAGAGAAATCACTTTGTTTCTAAGTCTCATGTCTTCCTTGGAAAGAATACACACAGGAATGTTAATATTAGTCAAATCATCATGAATTTTAATATCAAGCGCGTCTAATACTCGCTGCTGCTCCTCGTTGCGTAGATGCTTCTTAAGCATCGAAACATGAAAGACATTTTATCTACTCGACATCGTTGCTGGAAGATCTAGCCGATATGAAACAGCTCCAATGCACTCCACTATCCTGAACGGATCAATATACCTCAAGGCAATCTTTCCCCGTCT